CAGCATTACGAATACCAATTGACCCACAACTAGCCAAGAATACTGTCTATCCACCTTGGTGAAAACAGAACACTTACAGAATGCACAAACCTTCAATACTCACGTGTCGTGGAATACAGTGATCTTTCCCTGACAACATACTTCCAATTTAATAGCAAGATATACAAACAGATGGATTGGCTATGTGGACAATACTTTTATTTTCATTACAGTTTGATCAACAACATTCTCAATGAGATAAACTTCATAATGAAGAAGTCGAACAACCAACTGCTATTTCTGAATGTCAGTAGAACCAATACCGGCAAACTGGAAACACAAGTAAAACACACTGAACAAATCGTCAACTACAGTAGCAACAACCCAACAAAGCACAGAATTAAATGTGTATACAGTCCATCGAAAAAAGCAAGGACACACTACAGTACACTAACTTTACGGAGAAATGAAGAACATTACTTGATTTCCATGGTAAAGGAGAATGGCTATCAAGGAGACTTTATCAGAATATCCCTGCCCTGTTCATCAACCAACAACACAGTCATCCACAGAAATCAACAAGACGACTATTCTACCATGTATAAAGAATATATGAGAGACCAGGACAAGATTACTGAAACTGTTCATCTTCTTCGCCTTCACAGATATGAACACCAGCTAGGTGGTCAGTAAATATCAAGACATTTTGTCGCTTATATCAATGGATGTAGACAACTATGGACAGCAATTCAAAGTTGATAATGTTGACATCCTGGGCAGCAGAGACACAAAACCTGTGGAAGAATTCTTACAAGCACAGATTCATAAACACAGACCCAATCTACCAACGAATAAGAAAAATGATGAACAACAACAAAGTTAGAAATGAAGCACAGAAACAATCAGGGGGGGGAATTTATTTAGTCAGTGCTACAACAAGCAAAGGAAACAAGCGATTAGAACCCACTCCGTCAAGGCAAACTACTCAATCATTCATCAAGAGATACTCATAGCTCACTTCATATCGAAGTTAGTGTTGTTGCTGATGTTCTCTGGAAAGAGAATGAAAGCTTCATGATTAAACCACTCAACTCAGATAAGGTAGCAGTAAACTTATTGCCCATCAGTATGACCATGAGTGATCCTATTCTATTCGGCAGTTAGATAGATTAGGCTTAGTTAGTTGAAGGTGAGTTAGCGTGGCATTCACAATACTCCTCCTCACTACTGCTTGTGACGAATTCATATAGTTTCTATACAACAAGGTATGAAGCAGGGTAAAAGCTTAGTGGATATACTCACGTAGCATTCACTTGAATAGTTAGTATCTAAAGACAGCGGGCACAGTCACAGATGACGACGTCAAACTTACGATCGGAAAGACAGCAAGACGGGTCTTCTTGCATTAATCTGAAACCAGTATGGAGATCTGCTGAACTGCACTGCACTCAGTCAGCATGAAGCGTGAACAACATCCGGATTTTCAACACTAATATCAGCCAAGTTAGTACTTGCTTCTATATGGTTGACATACTTGGCGCGTCACGAAAAGCATTTCGAACAAATGGTGATTATAATTCATATAACAATAAGAATCCTTACCGTTGTGAGTTGTTATTTGTCGTTTGGATTCCTAGAGGAATATATGGCTTCAGTTACACGTCGCCATTTCATTCTCTTCTTCCCAGTCTTATCAACCTGGCACCACGACTGCCCGCAAGCTCTCATTTCTTCCTCACACCATGTCCTCCATGTCACCCTCGCCTCTCCTCGGACACTCAGCCTACGCTTCGCATCTGGGTTCCACTGGAGCAACTGGACTGGCCTGACGGGTGATGTCCCCAGTCGGCCTTTTCAGTGTATGCCGAATACATCTACGCTTCCACTTGCTTCTGCATATTTGTTGAGTTATAGGTTATTGACTCCTTCGTTCGTTGCCAGCCAGCCAGCCAGCCAGAGTTCCTTCTTGCTTATTCTTATTATTCTGGTAATCTATCTAATCTTCAGTAACGAGCCAGCGTAGGCAGCAGTTGTTGATGAATGTGTGTAGTTTATTGGAAATAGTTTCATGACGCACCAAGTCTCTGAGCCATACGGAAGCACTGACTTGACTGGGTTGGTGTCGGTGTTGAAAATCTGGATGTTGTTCACGCTTTATGCTGAGCGGAGTGCAGGAGATCGCCACACTGCTTCAAGGTTAATGAACGCCTGTCTTGCTCCCTTTCCTATCCTGGCCGGGTTTGACGTCCTCGTGTATGCCTGTGGCACCTGTAGTTGAAACAATGCTGCCTAGACAGGTGAAAGAGGCTGCCTTAGTTAAATTTCTCCCATTGATGGTGATTGGTGCTTCTTGTTGTTGTTGTTGTTGGTGGTGGTGGTTGGTTATCATCATCACCTCTGTCTTCTCTATGTTCACTTGAAGTCATGTCTTTGCTGCTCTGCCGTGCCCTGCCTCTTCTGTCAAATTGTTAGTTTTCGCCTGTACATCTTCGAGTTTGTGCGACACAGGACAATGGACACATATCATCATCGGGGAAATCCAAATCTTTTCTGGCATCCTTCACCCAGTCCAGCGTATCCCTTTCTTCTCGCTCATCACAGTTGTCTGCTGCATGATACAGTTGACCACAATCACGAAGATCATGGGTGATGGTAGACGGCAGTCTTGTCTTACTCCTATCTTCACTTCACTTCAAAGGCATCACTGAGCGTAGGTGGCAGCCATTCATGTATGTCTGCAGTTTGTTGCAAATGCTTTTCGTAACGCACCAAGTCTCTCAACCATCACCACACAGAAGCACTGACTTAGCTGAATCAGTGTTGAAAATCCCCGATCTTCTTCTTTATGCTGAGTTGAGATCAATAGATCTTCACATTGATTTCAGATGAGTGAAAGCCTGTTTTGCTGTCTTTCTGATCCCAGTTTTGACATCCTCATCTGTGTTTATGCCATCTATAGTTCAAACGATGCTGCCTAGGTAGGTAGGTAGGTAGGTAAGTGAAAGAAACAACTTCCTCTAGATTCCTCCTGTTCATGCTGACTGGTGCTTGTTGTTGTTGTTGATCGGGTATCTTCATCACCTCTGTCTTCCCTGCATTCACGTGAAGTAAGTCTCGTCTTCGTTACCTCTTCTGCAAACTTGTTATTTTTCGCCTGTAGATCTTCGAGTTTGTGCGACATTAGACATAAATGATCATCAGAGAAATCCAAATCATCGAGGGTCTTTTCGTCGATCAAATAACGTATGCTCATCGTTTCACAGCTCCTCAGAGTTTGGTGCATGATCCAGTCCAGTCGACCACAATCAGGAAGAACATGGGTGGTAGTAGGCAGCAGCCTTATCTTTCTCCTGTCTTCACTTCACTTCAAAGGTGTCACTGAGCTTTCCATTGTGAATGACTTGGCATGTACCATCGTTATATAGTTGTCGAATGAGGTAGATAAAGGTTTGTGGCACTGACGCCGTAGTGTTAAAACAGTTTCCAAATTAATTCTCGGTCGACGCTATCGAAACCTTTTCAAAATCGATGAAGTTGAGATTGAGTTGAGTTGACTGTCATTCTACGCTCTGTTCTATGTTGATGCGTATCGTAGCATTGTAATTTGATCGGTAAATGATTTGTTCTTCCTAAAGCCAGCCAGCCGGCCTGTTCCGGTCGTATTTTTGAATCAAGCGCATATTTTAGTCTCTCCAGGATGATGTAGCTTAATATTTTCATGGTGTGGACAGGAGCATGATTCCACGCCAGTTCTTGCCACCCTCGTTTGGACTGGCAAAAGAAAACGGCTAAAGATTACGTCATGATCGTGAATTAATTTCAACCTGAATGATGGAATCCGAGTAGACTTATTAAGTACCTATCGAGTGATATACGTTGTGATAAACACAAATAGTGGAGGAGGTGAATTGGGCTAGAACATATGAACAAAATATGGTGGCAGTAAGTGAATATACACAACAGAATTAAGCTCAAGTTACTAACCCTATATAGATCAGGGACATCATCGACTGCTGGCGATGTTTTGGTCTGGTGGTCACTGTGAACTCTCCTTTAATCTAACGAATCTACGAATGTCAAGTTAATGCAGGCAGTGGCTCGTTATGCTACCTCAGTCGATTAACGTTCAAAACCTCACCAATCGATTTGCCTGTTTTGGTTAATACTGTTCGCCTGACCTTAACGCTGCTCACACAGTGATTCCAGCAGAGATGCGAGCAATGCTGTGAAGACACCTATGATAGAAACCTTGCAACCACTTCATACTTTCTACTTCTAACACCCATGTCTCTCAGGTGTATAATAGGATAGGATGGACTGAAGCGCAGTATACCTATCCTTCGACAGATAGTCAGATATCTCGCGAATCAGCGCCACAAATTACACAAGTTGATAAGTCCTTCTGTATCCCGGTTGATATTATATCAGCAACCAGTCCGTTCAAATGGATGCAAATCCCCAAATTAGTTACGTGGTCGACACATTCAACCACTTCACTTTCCATCATTAAACTATGAGTAGTTCCAGACCAGTTCTGGAGCATCCTACATTTGATTGGTACGAAACACATGCACTATCTTAATCCTACTTGTCCTACTGAATTCAGTATTTCTTTGCATCTCTCCTTCTTCCTATCTTTGCACAAATTTCTAGCAGTTTTGACTCCTTTTGTCTAGGTGCTTTGTTACTGGGTGTTCTGACCTATTGTGTTCTGACCTGTTATGCAGGAAATGTCAGGTTCTATGTCTGTTAATTAGCTGAGCTTTCCATTGTGAATGACTTGGCATGTACCGCCGTTATATAGTTGTTGAATGAGGTAGATAAAGGTTTATGGCACTGACGCCGTAGTGTTAAAGCAGTTTCCAAATTATTTCTCGGGTAAGTAATCTTAGTGTATGCAAATCTCAATAATCTCTACTCTGAGTAGTATTTAACAGTCGGTTGGTATGTTTATAACTCTTTTTTTTTTATGAGAATCATTCAATCAATTTTGGTTGCTTTACTATTCGGTTAATCCTTAGTGATTTGGCAGCACGAAATTGTTTAATTTCTGATGATGGTCAATTGAAAATAGCAGATTTCGGGATGTCCAGAGAAGAACATATTTATGAAGTGAGTGAAAGTATTTTACAGACTTTTCTTTCTAACTTATGTATATAACTGGTCATTTTGTCTCAATACCACATGCATGGAAAAGGTTTTGTAACTATTCTCAAACCTATCTATCATATATATATATATATATATATATATATATATATATATATATATATATATGTAGAAGATTTTAAAGCCATTTTGTAATCTTATCTGAATTGGAAGAATGTGGAGATGGATTGGATTGGGCATGCACTGAGGAGACCACTCGGGGAGATCACGCGTCAGGCCAGGCATTCGAGTGGAATCCAGATGGGAAACGGCGAGTTGGGTGTCGGTGGCCAGGGTGAGATGGAGGAGATGATGTGAGGAAGAACTGAGAGTTTGTAGGCAGTCGTGGAGCCAGTTTGAAAAGACTGGAGAGAAGAGAGTGGAATTCAGACGTGTTACTGAAGTCTTATGTTCCACTAGGAACCCAAAAGAAAAAAATAATAGTGTCAGTATAATCAATCAGAAGGAAGCTAAACTATACGTGATGATTAAATCTTTATAAAAAGACATTAGTGCATGATAGAGATCCCGTAGTCATTTTAGTTCTATGGGCAGTATGCCAGGTCGATCATCTAAAGGTTACTGGTGTACGTCTTCATGCCGATCGAAGCATTAAGGTTAACCTGTTCAATTTAGTGGTTAAACAGTAGAGATTAAGGTGAAAACTACACCCTAGTTTTAAGCATATTTTATCATTGTATGTTATACTCTTTGTCGTTACGTCTATTTATCATCTACTCACTCCACCATCTTTTATTTCATTGGTAGTTGAGTGATAAACGTGGTCAAATCCCTATCAAATGGACTGCTCCTGAAGCTCTTCGCACAGGTCGATACACTATAAAATGTGATGTCTGGTCATATGGTGTTCTTTTATGGGAGATATTCACATTTGGTGATATCCCTTATCGAAATTGGTCGAATCAACAAACAAGAGATATGATTGAATCCGGTGAGTGTGTTGTTATTACTGCGTTTGACTATACTACTACTACTACTACGCTCATTAAAGGAGTATTATTTATCAATAGTTGTCTATATGTGGGATCTCAGTTATGTCTTCTTAAATCGGAACTCTCCAACTAGATAGATAATACCTTGATCTTATTGAATGATGTTACTAATGCGAAGTGTCGCTACCTCAATCAATGTCATGCCTTAAGTTATCCAGTAAGGAGGAAATCGACTATACCAGTGTGTACTATTTCTCAACAGAGGATGTCGTTTATCGATTAAAATTGAAAAGCTGTCATGTACTCCTCTATCTTCCTATAAATTATGTTTTCGAAGAAATTTTACTTATTGAAAGCAGACAAAATGTTACCTTCGTAGTCTAGTCCATCTTTCATGGTATCACCACGTAAGTAACACAGAAGTCAGGCGTAGAGTTCTAGAGAGGGGAGAGATAAGATAGTTGATGTGGTTGTCAACCTTCATCGAATGAGATAGCTGGTTCATGTATTGTGCAGACCTAATCAGTGTCCGCCTCGTCGCATAATGTTAGCTGAAGTAGGTTCAGTCTGGAAAATAGCTCTACTGCTTTTGACTGCTTTGTTTTCTTTCATGTTACTACTTTGTTACTAGATGTGCTGATATAAAGTGTGGCAACTTGACCTGTTACTCAGTAATATTTGGTCTTTCGTTGATATTAATGATTGATGATGATGACGATGAGATGAAATGTACAGAATGAAAAGTTATCTGATACACCTGATCAGGAACGTAAGTTCCATCATCTCAAATCTGTTTATTCGATAAAGCGCACAGCGATACTGTACTTTTTATTGGATGACGTCTCGAGAACAAATCACGTATCATAATCATATCACAGGAATCGTACAACTTTTAATATCTGATATTTCTAATCTTATCACCTCGTATTTTAGGTGTAGTGTCATTCCTGTTACATGAATTAAGTTGGATGTTGATTCAGTGAAAAATGATCCCGTAATCAATCAATCTCTCTCTTCTCATCTAACTATATTGAACTTGTAATGATGGATAGTGGCTAGCAACAGAACCTAGGATGGGCATTTCGTCCTATTTGGGACTCATCAGCCGGATGTACCAGCTCCCCAGTGCGTGATGTTGTTCCCACCGGGATTCGGACTTGGGAATGATCGCCTCAAAAGCCAGAGCGTTACCCACCACACCACCGAGCCACGTTAGCCACCTCTTGTGTAACGGGTATATTTTTTGGTATATATAGTTGTTTTTATATCATACCGTCGTTGATTGGACCGAATTGATTGGTCTCTATTGGCATATGGGATCCTGTGCGGATGCCTCGATATTACCTCTGCTCTTATGATAGTCATGATGGATAGTGGCTAGCAGTAGAATCCGGGATGCGCATTTCATCCTGGAACAACATCATCCACTGGGAGGCAGGCACATCCAGCTGACGAGTCCCTAATAGGACGAAATGCACACACTGGATTCCACTGCCAGCCACTATCCCTCATGACTATCATAAGAGCAGAGGTATTATCGAGGCATCCACACAGGATCCCATATGCCAATAGAGACCAATCAATTCAGTTCAATCAACGACGGTGTGATATAAAAACAATCATATATACATATTGAACTTGGATACAATGGTTTCATCTCATCCTATCTTACGGTTATGTGCCTTTGCATTCAACACTACGACGGAGTTATTTTTCTAAACTAATGATCATATTATTATATATCGCTTTACATATGAACAATTTTCTATGCTCTGATTATTTAACTGTTGCAACTTCACGGAGAGTTCTATACCTTATTATTATTATTATTATTATTATTATTATTATTATTATTATTATTACTAGTCCCTTGGGTTCCTAGTGGAACACAGGGCTTCAGTAGCACGTCTCCAGTGACCTCTGTTTTCTGAGATCTTTTGAACCTGGTCCCACGACACCCCACAAGCTATCATTTCCTCCTCGCACCATCTCCTCCATGTCACCCTCACCTCGGACGTCCAACTCGCCGTTTCCCATGGGGATTTCACTCGAGCAACTGGCCTGACGCGTGATGTCCCCAGTCGGCCTTCTCAGTGTATGCCCAATCCATCTCCACTTCCTTCCACTGCATATTTGTTGCGTGATAGGTTGATGGTTGGTTCGTTCCCAGAGCTCCTTGTTGCTTATTCTTGTTATTCTGGCCATCTGATCTTCAGTAGCGAGTAAGCATAGGCAGTTGTTGATGAATGTGTGTAGTTTATTGGAAATCACTTTCGTAACGCGCCAAGTCTTTCAACCATACAGAAGTACTGATTTGACTGACGTTGGTGTTGAAAATCCTGATCTTGTTCCACATGCTGAATGCAGTGCAGAAGATCTCCATACTGTTTTCAGGCTAGTGAACGCCTGTCTTGCTTTTCCTATTCTGACTGGCTTTGACATCCTCGTCTGTGCCTGTGACACCTGTAGTTGAAACAGTGCTTCCTAGATAGGTGAAGGAGGTTACTTCCTTTAAGTTTCTCCCATTGATGGTGATTGGAGTGTTTTATTGTTGTTGGAGTTGTTGGTGCGGTATCTTCATCACCTCTATCTTCTCTATATTCACCTGAAGTCCCGTCTTCTCTGCCTCTTCTGTCAACTTGTTAGCTTTGCCTGTAGATTTTTTTATTTGATTTATGGGTTTTAAAAATTTCCATCGTGTAAATTAGAACAAGACAATATAAGCAAACAATATTGTGTTCAATTAGATCCTCTTCAGGCTTTACCTACTCCAATACAAACAGCTTAATGTATATAAAAAGGAAAACCAGCTATGTAGATTTGTCGGTTAGTGCGTGATGAATGTTTTAAGAATAACGATGGTGATAATAGTAATGATGAAGATGTAGCCTCCTCTCCTTGCCAGACAGATTTTCACTCGGATGATGTATAAGTACGGCTTACTAGTTGAAGAAGATAGACAACAGTGAAACTTCTGTATGCTTGACTGTAAGATGAGAACAACAAGCCTGTATTTACAAAGGAGATGGGTAGGTATTTATCTGAACATGACAACAATTCTCCTGCTGATGAAGTCTCGTGTCAGCAACATTCTGTGTGGTGTACGAATGGTGGAAAGATAACTGGCTACTTACAAGGAGTACTTAACAAAAGTCGATGAATTTCTGCAAACTCATCGGAAAAACAGACTGATGCGAGAAGATTTATTGTAGCTGTGTCGCTCATCCACTTAACTTATAACTTTCTACCTGTGACAATGGTTCAGATGACCAGTTGGCAAACTGAATAGTGTGAAAGCCGTAGGCATGACGTCGCCTGATGCTGTATTTCACTTATTGATTATTTCTTACATCTAAACTAGCATCATCCAACCACATAATTACTTGCATCTTTTGCCATTGTTGCCTTGTTGCCTATTCTTTCTGGCTATCTCATCTAATCTTCGGTAACGAGCCAGCATAGGCAGCTGTTGATGATGTCTATCTGTAGTTTGTTGGAAATGCTTTTCGTAACGCGCCAAGTCTCTCAACCACCACATATAAGCACTGACTTACTTGACTGGATTGGTGTTGAAAATCCGGATGTTGTTCACGCTTTATTCTGAGTGCAGTGCAGTGCAGTTCAGCAGATCTCCACACTGGTTTCAGGTTAATAAACGCCTATCTTGCTCCCTTTCCTATCCTGGTCGGCTTTGACATCCTCGTCTGTGCCTGTGACACCTGTAATTGAAACAGTGATGCCAAGGTAGGTGAAAGAGGCTACTTCATTTAAGTTTCTCCCATTGATGGTGATTTGAGCTTGTTGTTGTTGGTGGTTGGGTATCATCATCACCTCTGTCTTCTCTACGTCCACTTGAAGGGAGTCCCGTTTTTGCTGCCCTGCCTCTTCTGTCAACTTGTTAGTTTTCGCTTGTAGATCTTTGAGTTTGTGCGACACAGGACATTGGACACATATCATCATCGGCGAAATCCAAATTTTCTAAGATCTTTTGAACTGACGAAATATACCCATTTATTCATTAACAAGAACAAGGCATGTAACAGCGAAGAAGCATTTCTTTACTACGACTTCATTATCAAGCTATACAGTCGTATTTATACTGAGTAAAGTGAACAGATAATTGCACTAAAAAGTTGCTCAGTCAATATGCAAAATATACAATCGGTGGAGGGGTGGTGGTATTTGTTCAAGTGGAAGAGATAAAAAATGGGTCACTTAATAATGAGGAACGAATTGATAAGAAATGGTGAGATAAGCGACAAGTGCTTACAAAGAATTGTAAAACGGTGATAATTAAACTGAAACGTGTACAATAGGTCAATGATTAAGGAATGAATTTGATGATATTAAAGAGTGAAATATGGTTCCAGTATTGTCAATGAAGTGAAAATTGGTGATAATAGAAGAGAAGTATACCAAAGTAAGGTGAAGTGAAATTGACAATAGTAACCAAGATGGAATTGTTAAGGCCAAGGTAGAGAAAGTGGTTTCACAAATCGTTAGAAGCGTAAACCTTTGGCGTGTTCAGCAACACGTTTTTGGAGGGCCCATTCACAATGTCCAATATAGTCAGCTCTACAGGAGCATGTGAACTTGTAGATACCTATAGATATGAACATAAGTGGAAGCCTATCGTTCACACATTGACGAATCAGACGGCGGCTGAAGAATATAAGTCTCAATCTAGCAGCATAGAAGCTACTATTGATACATTTTGATAGACTATTTTTTCAACACTTCCGCTGTGGTGTGTCTCCTTTGAATTCAAGATTCATGGTTAAAATGGGATGGGGAGTGAATCATTTCTTCAGATTCTTATCAATAAATCTTTTCGGGTATCCGTTGTTAGATAGTATTATCCTAAGAGTTTCGATTTCAGTATCCCCATTCCAGCGTATCTTCTTCTTCTCGCTCCTTACGGTTCGCTGCATGATCCAGTCGACCATAATCAGGAATATGATGGGATATATAAATGTATATGGAGTTTGTAGGATATTCGGTTATTTCAACCGTATTATAAGTGTTCAAAATGATTTTATTTATTGTTGCTGGTTACAAATTCAATGTTAAATTTTGAGGGGGTTGTGGAGATTTGGAAATATTTCAAGTTGTTATTCATCGAAGACTGACATCAGTTGGAGGAAGAAAGGAAGCGTGGGAGCACTGGACAGCTGTTTCGTCCGACTAGTATGGGACTCCTCAGCAGTGCGCACCCACGACCCCACCAGCAGGGATCGAACCCGCGACCTTCAGGTTCCGCCGCCAGCGCGTTACCATTGAGCCACTGGGTCAGAATCCAATGCTCCATATTTCCAACTTCTGTTAGCTCACGATATATAGCGCAACCGCCACCCAATGTCATCGTTGAGTATTTGTCCTCATGGACGAAACAGCTGTCCAGTGCTCCCAGGTTTCCTTTGTTCCTCCAACTGATGTCAGTTTTCGATGAATATCAACTTGAAATACTTCCAAATCTCCACAACCCCCTCAAAATTTAATTGAACTAGTGCTCGTTGGTGACTAGCTTCGAGAAGTATTCCCGAAGTTCCAATGACAAGTCGTGACCGGTGGAGTCAAAGCCTGATGGCCGTGAGGACAAATACTCAACGATGACATTGGGTGGCGGTTTGCGCTATATCGTGAGCTAACAGAAGTTGGAAATATGGAGCATTGGATTGTGACCCAGTGGCTCAATGGTAACGCGCTGGTCGTGGAACCTGAAGGTCGCGGGTTCGATCCCTGCTGGTGGGGTCGTGGGCGCGCACTGCTGAGGAGTCCCATACTAGTTGAACGAAACAGCTGTCCAGTGCTCCTAGGTTTCCTTTGTTCCTCCAACTGATGTCAGTCTACGATGAATAACAACTTGACATTCAATATTGTTATATTGTAAATATTGTTTAATATGTTTCTAAATATGCTTTTCTCTCTCTCTCTCTCTCTCTCTCTCTTTTAGGCTATAGATTACCTGCACCAGATTTAATGCCTGTCTGGTTGCGTACAATAATGAATCATTGTTGGAATGATGAACCAGAGAATCGTCCTAGTTTTATGCATATTTCTAATGAAATAAAAATACCTAATATTAATTCTTTTACACCGAATATGCATAGATCTATAGATAATCAACAGAATAAAATAGTTGACAATACTACTGATAATCACGTGAATACATCAACTGCTTGTCGACTAACTGTATCCATTAAAGATAAACGTATTAGAGAGAATTAGATCAAACTTGTATTCCCTTTATCATATATATACACACACCTCTATTATTAACAATATCTAGTATATACACTTCGCTAAGTGTACATATATATCTTGTATCCTGTTGGCTATGTGTGTATGTGTATACGTGTATACCTTTCACTTTTTTGAAAGCGCCTCTTTTACATCAAATTAAAAAAAAAATGGCGGTTAATTCATATTAGTTAGTATATTTGCTGACTTACTCCACTGTTTCACCTTCATCGTCGTACATGCAGTGGTTCTCTTTTTACCGAGTGATAACCTTCTAATTTTGATTAATTCATTATTTAGGAATCATATAGTTATATGACTACCATATAGAAAGGTATATATATATATATTCTAGTATTGTTGTAATCATCATTATCTAGTTCTCATTCATTCATATACTACTTATATAACTACTTATTTTATCTTCTCTTCTAGTTATTTTGACTGTGATAAAATAGATACAGAATCTTACAGATTTTCTTTATTGATGAATGTAGAAATTATGAAAGCAATTAAAGAATAACTTATGATAACTTTATAGTTTTTGTCTATTTTGGTGTGTTTTCAGTTCCTTTTGTTATTTATTTATTGATTACTCTTTTTTTTTTTTACTGTCCTCATAACTTTTCTTCCTTTCATAAATACATTCCAATTGCCTAAAGTAGTTCTATTAACAGTTTTTTTCCCGTTTTCATCTTTGAACTGTTGAATATTGAAATCATAGTGTAGTTGTTTATATGCACTAGGTGGAAATTCTTTTTTCTATTGGTTATTTTGTATTGTCTAGGTCATTCGATTGTTATATGTATTTCAACCAATCAGTGATGTTTTTCTCCAATGGGCACAGACATGCACACATAAATACACATACATGCATACATGCACATTGCCTACTCGAATTGTCGATATTCTATCGATTTTTCTGGCGCTTATGGAGTGAGTCATTAAATAAGTAACCGTTAACCTTGTATATGTCATATACTTATATTATTATAATTATTACTAATAATTTTACTACTACTAATACTACTAATTTCGTTCCTTTTGGTTTCCGTCTGAGGTTATCAGTTTATGCAGAGCTGATGATGAAATAAAATCTACATTATCTTTATCCCCCTTATTATTATTATTATTATTATTATTATTATTATTATTATTATTATTATCTCCACTCATCTTCGATGATATATGATTATGCAGCTGAATGGTTTAAACCTGAAGGTTTCATTGTCATTCTAGATAACAATATCATCAGCAAAAACTTCTGGAAGAAGTGAACTGTGGGATTTCAGGTGTTTGTCCCGGTGATGGTTGGTTGTTCTTGCCAGAATCTTGTCATTGTCACTGATATCCTTTGCATTTCTCTTATTCAACATTTCTACATTTTCTAAATCAACTTCATGTCGGTAGTTGTCTGTCTATATTGATTTGAGCGAAGGTATGTCATGATGCTTCCCTGCTAGTTGATATTTATGTAGACATATACGTAGAGAGTTACCACTCTTTCCGTTGTGGTAGGTTTTTGTAGTTCCTTCAGTTTATTTCATAGATAATGTTTGGTTAGTCTTCTTTGGCTATTATATCTTTTAGCCTGAATAACAGAAATTGAAGAGATTTTATGAGATTGTGAAATACAATGGTTCCAAAAGGCTTCAATAATCTGATTATGATCTCGGAGACGTTCTTCATGTAGAGTTGGTCAATCGGTTTGTTAGTTTTCGAGTTTGACTTCTTGGATGATGACCAACTATGTGAATGTCTTTTGATGAAGTTGCGTGGATAGCCGTTCTTCTATAAAAGAGTCATCAAACAATTTTCTTCTTTTACAGAGAAGAGATAATTCAGTGTATTCATGTATATATTATAAACATATAACAGTCTATTATAAAACAATAGGGTATAATAGCTACATTATTAACCTAGTGGTAAGAAAACACCAGAATGAAGAATGCAAAGTAGTTGCGTAATAAACTAAGACAGTAGTAGAAATATCGAGGAAGGCAAGGAGTTTGACAAGGTGAAAATGTTTGGTAGATAAGAAACACAAGTATTGAATGTCCACTTGATAGATAGGTAGATAGATAGATGGATGTAGAGAAGGTGAAGAATGAGACAAGGGTCATAATGAAGGTGATAATAACCATAAACTAATTAGTGCCAAGTAATTCACAATGAGAAGCTCAGTGATACCTTTGAAGTGAAGTGAAGACAGGAGTGAAACAAGACTGCAGTCTACTATCCCCAATGATATTCCTGATTGTGGTCGACTGGACTGGATCATGCAGCAAACAGTGGGGAGCTGTGAGAAGAGGGGGATACACTGGCTGGACTGCGGAAAACAACCTAGAAGATTGGGATTTTGCCGATGACTTGTGCCTGATGTCACACAAACTTGAAGATCTACAGGCGAAAACTAACAAGTTGACAGAAGAGGCAGCGAAGACGGGACTTCAAGTGAATATGGAGAAGACAGAAGTGATGAAGATACCGCACCACCACCATCAACAACAACAACAAACTCCAGTCACCATCAATGGGAGAAACTTAAAGGAAGTAACCCCCTTCACCTATCTAGGAAGCACTGTTTCAACTACAGGTGTCACACGCACAGACGAAGATGTCAAAGTCAGAATCGGAAAAGCAATACAGGCGTTCATTAGCCTGAAACCAGTGTTGAGATCTTCTGCACTGCATTCAGCATGTGGAACAAGATGCGGATTTTCAACACCAACGTCAGTCAAATCAGTGCTTCTGTATGGTTGAATGACTCGGCGCGTTACGAAAGGGATTTCCAATAGACTACAGACATTCATCAACAACTGCCTATGCTTACTCGCTTCTGAAGATCAGATGGCCAGAAGTTTCAGAAGACTCTAGCACAATCCTTACACAGGCTATTCATATTATTTAAGCAGATGTGATATCATACCGAGGTAAAACGTTCAACGAAACTGAAACCTTATCCCTAGGTATTAGTCAAAATTTTGTAAATCATATTTCAGAGGAATTAAGAGGGAATAACTATGACTATGTTTGGTTTTAGGTAAATTTAATCCTCATCCTCGGTTTCCCCAAAAGTAGGTGGTCGAATGAAGCTGTGAGGTAATTTCAACAACTAAGTGACATGTAGATATTTCACCTTTCATTCATATGTCAGTACATTGCCAGGTTGTATAGTTTCACAACCAGTCATGAATTTGATCGTATAATACGGCAAATATTGGGCGCTTAGTAAAAGGTTGATATTACATATAGATTATATCAGCCATGAATGATTTCAGTAAATCTTAGAAAATCATTTTGACTATCTGAGATAGCGGTGGTTTGGCAGACTAGTATTTATACTGAGTGATGGTCGAAGGTGAAATGAAAATCTGAACCGTTGCCGGATTCGAACCAGCGACCACCGGGTTTCCGGCCGGATGCTGTACCGGTAGTCGGTGGTTCGAATCCGGCAACGCATCAGATTTACATTTCACCTTCAATCATCATCCAGTATAGATCTTAGAATACTGTGAAATTTCAAGAAGAGAGTTTTTCGGACAAAGTCCTGCCAAATTTCAAAAATGCTTGAACTGCTTCAGAGTACTGTCAAAATGTGTACAGAACGATCACATGGTTTTGCAAAGATCATTAACGTGGACATTTTCTATGAAAATGTTAAGCTACTTGTAAGTAGATAACTGTTTATTCATAAATATTTGTGAGATAGTGAACTAAAGAAGACGTTTTTCCAGTATTCACAATGATGCATAATCACTACAATAAATATCCAAATCCATCTTCATAGTAATGGTCGAAATGGCATCTACCCTAACGAAAAACAAACTTTTAAAAATGCATTAACTTATATCTCGAGTTTCTTCGTTTTCTTTTTTTCGCTTTAAACTTTACTAGAAAACAACCCATTCATTATGACTACTACTAGGGTGTTCATTCTCATACTGAGGGCAGTTGCGATGATGAATACGATTTGAATAGTTAAAACCTTTCTGAATAAAAATTAACCTGATTTCTGACTATCCAGCCAAATCATCATATGTCTATGTACCATGTGCATGCTTTTATGAGTCCAACGTCTGATCACTCTTTAGCTTTGTCCATTATATTTCTGTGCTTTTCATGGGTTGAGGTCAACTGGTAATGGGTTGTTCCTAACTCATCAGTAAGGTGTATCTACTATCTTGAGGTAATTGATATTGTCTTTGAGATTTAATCCAGCATCAACAGTTCTGTCGAGATTTTGGATAAATCTTGATGGTGAGTGTTAGTAAGCCTGGAACCTAGGTCTAGAGGTGCCTACCGATTACTTTTAGCCATTTCACACCAATTGAAATTCATCGCAGTGATGAGTCAATTAACTAGTTGATATGTACCTGTAATGTTTTGAAAGTCTAGTTAGTGATCGTATTGGAGAGGTATTACCTTACATGAGGTTTGTTCGTGACATAGTTTTTATATGTAACGAGCCTAATGATGCGATTCGCCTGCTGGAAAAACAAAACGCAACTAGAAATCACATTAGCTTTACTTGTTAAGAAGAACCAAAGAAATAACTGCCAATTTTAGATTTTCTGATTTGTTAACAAAAAGGGGAGTCGGCTAGAAGTTCAACCAATAGGAAACCAAAGTGAATAGGATTATTATTATTTGTCCCTTGGGTTCCTAGTGGAGACATAGGGCTTCAGTAGCACGTCTCCACGACTGCCAACGTGCTCTCATTTCTTCCTCATACCATCTCCTCCATGTCACCCTCACCTCGGACTCCCAACTCGTCGTTTCCTATCTAGGTTCCACTCGAGGGCCTGGCCTGGTGCGTGGTGTCCCCGAGTGGTCTTCTCAGTGTATGCCCAATCCATCTCCACTTCCTCCCAATGCATATTTGTTGAGTGATAGGTTCTTGGTTGGTTTGCTCAAAGAGTTCCTTGTTGTTTATTATTTCTGGCCATCTCATCTGATCTTCAGTATTGAGTGATCGTAGACGGCAG